TGTAGGGAACATGTTCTCTAAACATTAAGGGAGTTAAGCTCTGGTCATTAACATTTCCACTCAAGATGTTTTCATAAATCCCAAGTGAAAACAAGCTCTTCAAAAAACAGAAAAAAAAAAAATCTAACCTAATAAAGCCTTGGTTGGGTTAAACAAACTAATACGTAGGCTCTTAGGGGCCAGAGTCCTACATGTTCTGCTGAGCAAGGGGTCACTGCACCCCAAACCACTCGCAGTTCTCTTAACATCACACCTTTCATGATTCTGACCATACACATGCCAACCCTTTCCTGAAATGTCTATGAGCCCCTTATCTACAAGGTTAATTTTTACTTATTCTTCAAATTCCCTAACCTTCATTAAACTGTATGCTCTTTGAGGGAAGGCTACAGGCAGGCCATACAGCAGCAGAGCTAATCGTAATGACTGGGTCTAAATTCCGTAATACTTAAAGTCTTCAGTCTTTTCACCTATAAATAGAGATAATAACAATATCTAATGGATAGTTATGAGGATTAAAAAAATAACTGAAGGAAAAGAGTGTAACATTGTATGGAAGAGGTACAATAAAGTTTAGTCATTTCCTTTTTTTTTTTTTTTTTTTTTTTTTTTTTGCTATAGGGCACATGCACTTGCCAGAAAGAGAGACAGAAAGCAAGAAATCACCCACCCCCCCCGGAGGGATGACCACGCTGCAATCCCTTCTCTTCCCAGGATCTTGGGCATGCACGCACTGGTGCCCGGCATGAGTTTAAGCCACCGGGTCTGGGACTCGAACCATGGTCGACTACATGGGATTCTGGCAACATAGCCATATCGCCAACTGCTGGTCCCAGGGTTAGTCATTTCTATTGTTAATGAAAAAACTCTAAATCCAGCAAGAAAGGCCCAACTTGGGAAGACCAGATACTATCCTTGTTTGGTTACTAAAATAGAGTCCCACCTATGTAAGAGACGGAGCTAGTGGAAAAGTGAGGCTCTTAGACAGCCAAGTCGCCATACTCACAATTACACAGTTCTTGCCAACGTGAACGTAAGAACCAATCTGAGCTGCGTTGACCACACAATCTTCCTCGATAAAAACATGGTCCCCAATATGTAAAGGAAAGAATGCAACACTAGAGAAGGAAAAGGTGAACAAAGAAAGGTCAAGGTGATGTACTTTGAGTCAAGGTTTATAGAATTACAGTTTGTAATCTCAACTTCATCATCTTATTTTAATGAGATCATTTTCTTTTTTCTTTTTTTTTTTTTTTTGTTTAAGAATGATTTTATTTAACTTTATTTTAATTTGACCAGAGAGTGACATAATGAGAGAGAGAGAGAGAGAACACACAAAAGCAAGCAACTAGGTCCAGGACTCGAACTATGGTCTGCCATGTGGGAGCCTAGCACCCTTAACTACCACGCCACCTGCTGGCCTCTAATGAGATAATTTCTAGTAAAGAAAGAATCCTCGTCAGGCTAGGAAAACTCTATGTTGAAAATAAATGAGACAACTAACAAAATCAGAACTATCAAACCAGAGAAATGTCCAAGGAAACGGCAAGACAGAAAGGGCAAGGTCTTCAACCCTAGTAGAGCAGGTACCAAATAACAATTAATGAATGTCTACTCACTTCTGCTTTCTTTAGAAATGCTCACAGATCACTTTTTTGGTAATATGCCTTATAATGTTACAGGGAAGTGACATCAAGTTGATGGCTATAATTTATGGCACTTTACATTCTAATCTACTCACTCACCAATTCTACTGAGTGTCTACCATGTGCCAATCTTGATGCTAGAAATTGGGGATATGATGATGAACAAGAGAGACAAAATAAGTATTTATATAATAATTCACTGTCGCTGTGATAAGTGCTACCGAGACACAATGCCAAGTTATGAGAATATATAACAAGAAAACCAGGTGTTTGGAAGAAGCTTAATTGAAAGGAACATTTAGGCCAAGAGCTTAAGGATGAGTAGAAATTAGCAGGCTTTCTCCCAACTTCTGACATTGTTCCCATTCCCCAGGATCCCTCAAATATTATTGAGAGTGGTTCTGTGATCCCATCTATAAGTAATTTTAGTACCTTGGAAAGTAATCATCTTTGGACCAGAACTGACATAAAGTAATTAGATGCTCACTAACTCCTTCTAGTCCTGTTCTATTTTGTCAGGAATATTTTGTCAAAGATGATACCTGTCCTCCATGACCTATAATTAATTTATTTAAATTCTCATTAATCTGTTAGCATTTTTAGCCTGTATACACTGCAGCAATGAATTTCTTTATCTTATTATAGTCTATGGCAGCAGTAACAGTTCTTTTTTAATTAAAAATTCCAAATTATTATTTTTTTTTGAGAGGTTTTTTTTTCACTATAGGGCATGTGCGTTCACCAGACAGAGAGAGAGAGACACAGAAAGCGAGAAATCACCCCCCAGGGGGGATGGTCACGCTGCAATCCCTTCTCCTCCATTCTCCTCTCGGGATCTTGGGCATGCACACACATGTGCCCGGCGTGAGTTTTTAAGCCACCGGGTCCGGGACGCAAACCGCGGTTGACTACGTGGGAGTCCAGCAACATAGCCATTACGCTAACTGCTGGTCCCAAAAATTCCAAATTTTTTAATAGTACCTGGTTCTGGCATGATACACAGAGGAGAAAAATTCACATTCACCCTCTATTCATGTTTTGCTATGTACACTTTCATATTTCTATATTCCTCATGAGGACTAATCCTATTTACACACAGTAAACCCCTTGTTCATTCTTTTCTTTTCTTTTCTTTTTTTTTTTTTTTTTGAAGAGGTTTTCGCTACAGGGCGCATGCACTCACCAGAAAGACAGAGACAGACAGAGAGACAGAAAGCAAGAAATTACCCCCCAGGGGGGATGGCTATGCCGCAATCGCTGCTCCTCCATTCTCCTCTTGGGATCTTGGGTACACATGCACATACGCCCGGTGTAAGTTTAAGCCACCGGGTCTGGGACTCAAACTGCAGTCGACTACATGAGAGTCCAGCGACATAGCCATTACAATAACTGCTGGTCCACCCTTGTTCATTCTTGGTGCTTTCTCCAGGCCATATCTAGCCTAATAATGGCATTATCAGAGGTTGGAGCCAATAACTCTAGAAAACTTCAGTTGAAACCACAAAAGGTATCACAAAATTTCTTGATTGCCCCCAATAGCCTTCTGAGCCAATTTGTGAATATTTTCATGTGAATGATTTATAATGATTCTCTGATCTAATTCCTGTATATACTGGAAAGTCTGTAGTCCAACATCATTATAGAAAATATGGGATTTTTCCTGTATGATATACCTCTAAGTATTACAGTTTGAGTTAGCTGTTTCTTTCTCTGTTCTTTCCTAACCATGTTCATACCCCTGTGATAACGATATCACTCATAAAGTGCTATCATATTATACTATCATATGGTAGCTATCTGTTCGTGTAATTGTTTCTACAACTAGATTTTGAGAACCTTGAGGCAGGAATTATATTTTATCCTTCTTTATATGCCAACTTTAGGAAACCCAATGGAAGCTAGTTGATAAATGCTTGCTGACTTATTGGGTGAAATGCAGATGGAACCATAGGTAGGAACTAGGAGGGCAATTACCTGGAAGGATAGAGAAAAAGAGGATATTACCACCACAAGCATCGTGGTCAGTTTTCCTACTCTATCCTGTTCTGTCTTGAGCAGTCCTTATTCCCACAGAGGGATCAGTGGGTCTGACTTGACCCTGTCTCTGGGTAACAGCTGTTTAAACCAGTTGAGCCAATCAGATTCTCTCTCTAAAGAATTTGGGAGTTGGGGCTGGCAGGTGGCATGGTGGTAAGGGTGCTGGATTCCCACATGGCTGGCTGCGGTTCAAGTCCTGAACCTGGCAGCTTACTTTCTCACTTTCCCTCCCTCCCTCCCTCTCTCTCTCTGTCCTTCTCTGGTCAAGTAAAAAAACAAATTAATTAATAAATTAATTAAAGTTCATTAAAGTAATTCTTTTAAAAATAAAAATAAAAAATAAGTTAAAAAAATAAAAAAATAATAATTTGGGAGTAAGATATAAGATCTCTGGCTGTGGGAACCAGCAGTTAGCATAATGGCTATGTCGCTGGACTCCCATGTAGTTGACCGCGGTTCACGTCCCAGACCCGGTGGCTTAAAACTCACGCCGGGCGCGTGTGCGTGCGTGCCCAAGATCCCGAGAGGAGAATGGAGGAGAAGGGATTGCGGCGTGACCATCCCCCCTGGGGGGTGATTTCTCGCTTTCTGTCTCTATGTCTCTCCCTGTCTGTCTGTCTGGTGAGTGCACGCGCCCTATAGTGAAAAACCTCTCTCAAAAAAAAAAAAAAAGATCTCTGGCTGGTATCTGTTAGAAGCCTAAATGAAGAAGTGGTATAAATAAAGGCTGCATGAGCAAAGGGGCTAGGTATAGCCAATCAAAGAGAGAGGCGAGAAAAGCAGAAATGCAGAGACAGGGACAATATAGAAGAATCAGCATAATCTTTGGGATAGAGAGGAGACAACAGAACAGGTGTCTTGCTTCTGGTTCAATGTCTATTGCATATTCTGATCAATTGTGAAGGCTGGCTCCTTTTTCTACTCTTAAGTCCCACTGAATATGCTGATATTTAATCAGAACACCCTGTACTTTTCCTAGCTTCAGAGGATTCTATTTTTGACAACCAATCATCAACGAGACTAAAACAATCACCACCAGAGTTGTGTTCATTTTGGTGAATTCTTACCAAATGTCTCCCCCCATGAAAACAAACAAACAAACAAAAAAAATAAGAGAAATCTACTCATTACACCACAATTCAACCCATGGACAATAACTCCAACAACAGATCTTGCCAAGAGTGGAACAGGGTGATGAAATCACATACCCCTTGCTGAATTTCTTGAATGGTGGCCTTATGACACTCCGACTTTTCACAACACAATGGCGCCCAACTCTTACATTTGCCAGGTCCCCACGGATAATGCAGTCATTCATCACAATGGTCTATAAAACAAAGCACATTTTTTTTAATTGCTAGAAGGTGTGCACACTTGCCAGAGAGAGAGAGAGATGAAGAAAGCATCCCTCAGTGTGTGGTCATGCCACAATCTCCTCTCTTCCATTTCTCCATCCTGTTTAGATTTTGATAATGCATGTACATATGCCTAGCATGTTTGTTTTTTTTTTCTTTCTTTCTTCCTTTCTTTTTTTAGGTTTTTGCCATAGGATGCACGTGCTTGCTGGTGAGAAACAAAAAGACAGTGAGCAGGAAAGTGAGAAATCACCCCTGAGGGAGGATGACCACACCACGATCCCTTTTTCTCTATTCTTCTCCTAGGATTTCTGGGCACACACACACATGTAAAGTCCAGTGTGATTTTCAAGCTGCTGGGCCCAGGACTCAACCACAGTCAGCTATATGGGAGAATTCAGTGCTTTGACCACCATGCCACCTGCTGACCCCACTCAGCATGTTTTTCAAGCCACAGGGGCTGAGATTCGAAGAACAGTTGGTCAAGGGGCAATCTAGCAACCTTAACCACCAGGCTATGGGACCAGCCCAGAAGAAGCATGTTTTAGGGGACAGCAAGTAGCATGATTGTTAAGGTGCTGGATTGCCACATGGCCAACCACAGTTCGAGTCCTGGACCTGGTGACTTGTTTTCTCACTTTCCCTTTCT